TATATTGTGTGCAATATGGAAAATTTTTATTCTGGTTAGCCTATGGGTTGAAGAAGTTGCATCACCAAAATTTTAGGTCTTAAAAATACTCCTATATTGGGTTTTATACTGAGGGAGTAAATGGATAGTATGCTCTCATGGGAGCATGAAATCTTTTGGATTTACCAAAAGTTTCCATTTACTTCATCGCGGTAATCCATCTAGAATTAGTTTCAGGACACCAAAGTTTAGGGATGCTCCCTCGTCAACTCATAGATTAACTTCAATGTTTCTTAATTGTACCCTCTATGCACTAAAAAAAAATAATACCTCAAGATTGAATATAGATCATCCAATTTTTAGACTAGGCCTCATGGCCTTGGGAGTAGAAGTAAATTATGCTCCTAAGGGAACATAGTATACCTGCTCTTCAGTCATTTCTTCTTTCATCCTGATTGACACGCAAAGGATGTGTAAAACCTTGTCCCTGGATGTACCGAACCCTAACCCCCTTAGGAAATCTACGAAAAGAGGGTCAACCCAAGAGCTGATATAATCCCAATGACCCAGATGGAATCTGGGAATATCGGATGAGATAAAGAGAGAGAGAATTAATTTATTAAAAAATCATTCGAGGTGCTTAGTTTCGAACCTCAAATTTGTGAGTTTAGGGTTGATTTGCATTGACTCTTGAAAATCATTAGATTTGCTTAGTTTTTACGTCAATACAAAATAATGGAACTTATTCCCGGATAAAAAAAATGGGCCAACTTAAGCTACCAACATTTCTTTTTGCGACAAATGTTATCAAATTGCTAAGGAACAAAAAATGGTCTACTTAAGCTACCAACTTTTCTAGTAAGGAACAATATACAAAGAGATCATTTATTTTGAGTACAAGGATGCCCTTGTTCATCAGATTTAAAATTTCATCATTATAAGTGTGTCATTGACTAGATTCAAAAGTCAAAACAAAATATCTGGAACTTTGTGATATATCCTAAGCTATTTATTCCGACATATAATAAGAAGTAATTGTGACCTCCTTATAACAATGATAAATAATATTATAGTATACAATCCTTTCTAGTAATCCCCAAAAGATTCTGAACGTTCTAGTCTTTAATATGCCGTAGACTGTTTTGTTATTTTTTGCATTAGATTACTAAAGCTTTGGTAGTTGTTAAGCAGCCTTTAATGTAAGAGAAAATGAAAAATAAAAAAATGGTTGCCACAGCTCAGCAATCCATGCGCATATTTCGCAAAATCCGAAGTAGAAACCATGGACAAGCTTGGCCCAACACCATCTATAATTCCAAAAACTGCCTAATCTAATACCACAATAATGTTATACATTTTATAACCAAACAAATGTATATAAAGTTGACATCTTACAATGTAGAATTAAGGTGCATCTCTAAAATCATTTGGAAAAAGTTGTTTTGATGCTGAAAAAAATTTAATTGATCATCTTGACATCGAAATATATAGAGATGGAAAAAAAGAGAGATTTCAAGTCCTAAAAAAAATACACCTTACAGCACATTCTTTGGACGGTACATTTTCAAGATTTTTATGCATTTATAAATCTGCTTGATTTGATCCATTTTTGGAGTTTAAAGTTCTATAATTAAAGATAAAAAAATAGATTTTTGCACTATCCTAAGAATTTTATGCAACAAAATTGCATTTCATGACGAGGTTTGGAGGTGTACCTTACTTTGATTGTTACGGTTGGAATTTTATGCACATCACACCTTTTTATAAAATCAAACCAAGATCTACTGTAATGATACCATAGTATTTTTACTGGTGTGCAGTTCGAACTAGTGTTTCAAAACTGGGCGGTCTTGATAGGAGGGACTTGGCTCTTGGAAACTTAGGATCAATAAAATGATTCTCTTAGATTTTAAAATCCTTTTTATTAAAGGTGCGGTTTGTATAGAGCCAAGGCTCTCAACAATCAAAGTAGAGCGCACCTTCAAGTAGTGTCGAGAAATGTGGTTTCACTACTGGAAATCTTTGTGATAGCCTTCAAATATATTTTCATTTCTAATTATAAAATTCAAAGCTTAAAAAATAGTATAGATCAAGCAGATTTATGAAAACTTGAAAATCTTGAAAATTGACGATCCAAATATGCATTACAGTATGAACTATTTTCAAAACTTGAAATCCATTTTTTTCTCATGTCCAGGCATCTTGATGTCGAGATGATCAATTTGAGGTTTATTGGGCATCAAAACAACTTCTTCTAATGAAAATTTTGATGTGGGCTCTAATTGATTGTTTAAAGTCTTGGCTCTATATAAAACTTTTACTCTTATTAATTACATCCGTTCGACCATTCAAATCCGAATTTATTCTTTATTCTTTATTATTATTATTTTTATTATTATTATTATTATTATTATTATTATTATTATTATTATTATTATTATTATTATTATTATTATTATTATTATTATTATTATTATCATTATCATCATCAGATTGCTGTCTATCTGATTTTATCAATATCGTACTGGTTTTAAATTCATTTTATTTAATTTTCTCACTTTAGGTTCGGTCTAATGTCTCGAACCTTGAATTGCTTAGTCAAGTGAGTTGTGGCAATAATGAATAGAATATCGGCCCAAGGTCCTAAACCTCGGACTGCTTAAATCTTGTCGATCTGATGTTTAAGACATCGGCTCAGTACAACCTAGTGTAAAATTAAACAAAAAACTGGTTCGATGTTAGAAATATCATATCGATAGGCAATGTAAAAAAAAAAAAAAAGGTATGCGAGTTAACTAACATCACGAGTAATTTATTCAGAAAAAAATGGAGCTTTTTTCATTTTCCCTTTTATTTTCTTGCATCTCTCTCTCTCCTCCATCTCTCTCTATACTTAAATGTGACCAAAGTTTTATTTCGTGCAACTCTCTCTCACCTCCCATCTATCTCTACATTTAAATCTAACCAAAGTTTTATTTTGGTGCAACACTCTCTCACTACACTTAAATCTAACCAAAGTTTAATTATTGCAGTTTTCTTCATACCAAAGATTGTTTGCTTGACTAATTAAGCAGGAAGACAAGAAGCAGAACGCGTAGAAAAAGCCCAACAAAAGTCCAAAGTCACGCTTACCAAGGTTGGTTCTATCCATTAATGGCCTCAGGAAATCGTGCTTCAAAACTAAACACACTTACCAAATATGGAAACCAAAATGAAAGAATCCTTACCGCGCCAAGCAAAATTACAGTGGGAAAAGAGGGCAACTGTGCATATCGTTCCCAGTCGCTGTCTTCCTGGTTTATTTATGGAAGCATGAAATGAATAATGTGTATCCTTTCCCTCTTTGGCAATCTTGCAGGACGCGTTCGGACAATGATATAAAAATTGTTTCCTTGTTTGCTCACTAATGGTCCACTCTCTCTCTCTAACATCTCCTCTCTTTGTTTATCTCTCCTCTCTCTCTCTCCCACTTCTTTGTTTTTGCTTCTCTCCTCTGTCTACCATCTCTCTCTTTGTTTCTCTCCTCTCTCTCTACCATTTCCTTTCTTTGTTTCTCTCTCCTCTGTCTACCATCTCTCTCTACCACTTCCTTTCTTTGTTTCTCTCTCCTCTCTCTACCATCTCTCTCTCTCTCACTTTGTTTCTCTCTCCTCTCTCTCTACCACTTCCTCTCCTTGCTTCTCTCTCTTCTGGTTTCTCCTCTCTCTCTCTCTTTCTTGTGGTCTTATGTGTTGGGGACACAATTCCATGAAAAAGTGGGTCCATGCAAATGGGTGATCCCTTCCCATTTTGATGTATACAGGTGCTGTGGACTCCTCGCGTCTAGAGAGAGAGAGAGAGAAAGAGACCTCAGATTTAGAGAGAGAGAGAGAGAGGGTGTGTGGTGATGGAGCTCACAAAGAAGGAACCTATGAGTTTCTGAGAAGGGTTTAGGTACGAGGGGGAAATGCAGAGTTATTGCGATATTCAGTGGGAATGGGATGGGGTCTCCTTCTTTTGACAAGCGTTACAGATAGTGCCTGAGCTCGGATCCTTTCCTAAAACAAACGGGACAGAGAATAAAGTGATGTCCCACCACCCTGATATAGAGAGAGAGAGGGGTTGAGAGAGAGAAGAAAACCAATTTCAAGGTGATGTTGCATGGGCATGGCCATCAATCCAAAGAGGATTATTTACAGTGCAGTATTCATGCTCTTAGCACTAGTGCAACAGATGAGAGAGAGAGAGCAACAGAAGAGAGAGAGGGGGAGAGAGGGCAACAGATGAGAGAGAAACAGATGAGGGAGAGAGGGCAACAGATGAGGGAGAGAGGGCAACAGATGAGAGAGAGAAGAGATAGAGTGCAAAAGAAGAGAGAGAAACAGAAGAGAGAGAAGGGCAACAGATGAGAGAGTGAGATGGTGCGTGTATGTGCCAGAAATAGAGGCATAATGTAGAGAGATGACCCACACTCCCCCATTTGGAGGAAAGAAACCCTAAAGTCCCTTTCTCCACTCTCATGAAGGGTGAAGGTGACGGAATGTCTCTTTGCTTTTTCAAAAGCAAACGGACCACCAAACCCAAGAAAACCCTAATACCATTTCTTATTTCCACTCAGTCAAACTCTCCATTTCTCCTTTTCCCTTTTATATTTACCCTTTCCACATTCCTTTTTCCCCCTTTCTTTATTTAACAGTGCCATGCATCTCCCTACATGCATGCAACTGCCACATAAACTCCACTACCAGGTTCTTACCCCTCTCTTTCTCTCTCTTACTTTCTCTCTCTAAACCTGCCTCATCTTCTTCTTCTCCACCTTCTTATTCCTCTGTTTCTGCCTGTTTCCCATTTATCTCAATTGGGATCACCTGTTTAAAGCAACTCCACTTGTGTAACCAGGTCTTTTTGTTTTAATCCACCTGTATTTGAGATAGAGAACAAGATCATAAATAGTTCTCTCAACTTATTATGGTCTTTAAATTTGTTCTACTGGTTCCTTTAAGTGTGTTGTTTCCTCTCTTATGATCCATTTTCCTTTTCGTTCTTGGAATTGCGTCCAGAGAGAACATTCTCAGGGTGCAACAATCCAAACAAGGGGATAGAGAGAAAGAGAGAAGAGGAAACTGAGCAAAGAGAAGATAAATACAGATGGGGCGTGGGAAAATTGAGATAAAGAGGATAGAAAATTCGACCAACAGGCAAGTTACCTTCTCCAAGCGCAGGGCTGGTCTTCTGAAGAAAGCCCACGAGCTTGGAATTCTCTGCGATGCACAACTCGGCCTCATCATCTTCTCAAGCAATGGAAAATTGTTCGAGTATTGCACCCATACTTCAAGGTTACTGTTCTTTTGAGCTTCTTAATTTCTTTAGATTTGATTCCTACCATTGAAAGTTGGTTTCTTGCTCTCTCTCATGCTTCAGTTGTTCCTGCTGTTTTGTGCTTCATTATCTCTCTACATTTGGCTTATATTGCTCTCCTTGAAAATTTTGTGAATGTTGGTTTCTTGTTTTCTCTCTCAAGATTAGGTAGCTTGAATTTCTTGAACCACTTTTTGATAAAACTATGCCTTTTGTGTTTTTAAACGAAAATCCTACTGGGTGCAGTTCCTAATATTGACAAAGAAACCCCCAAATCTAAACATATGATAAACCTAATTTCCCCTTAAAGAGAATCAAAAGCAAAACCCAAGCTCCATTCACTTTTATTCTTGTTTGTTCATCAATTGCAGACTGACATGAAATATTACGGGTCAAAAGTGAATAATAAGGCATGGCATTCTGCCCCAAGTATTAAAGACTTCAGTGTATAACTGAGAAATTACTTCCAGGAAAATAAAATTTCTTGTACAAGAAATATTAAGCTTGGATTTCTAGAATTATCCATCTGCCTAATTCTTACTCACCCTGTAAGCAGAGCCACACTATGAGGACAAAACTTTAACCCTATTAAGCTTCAACTAAATCTGTTGATTTTCGGTTAAGGGGAAACTTTAGTTCCTGAGAATATGTCCGACTTTTCCGAATTGCATATGGCTATCTACCAAACCAGAGAATCAAGTTAGAGATTTGAGTATTTTGCCTTTGTAAATGGTTTCACATTCAAAACAATAGTTATCAATTGTTTCCTAATGAAATAGGCTGTCTTCCCATAACAGTAACTTTGGAGTGGAACCATAAATGTTTGCAGTCCTCAGCTGCAAATTCACATTCACCAGAGAAAAGTTGATCTTTTTCTACGTGGTAGGTTTTTTTTCTCTTTGTTAAAGTTTCACTCATTGGGATTTTGACAACTATCAAAGAAGACTATCAAAAGTCTTTAGAGAAATCTTTTTAGAGAAATCTTTGGTGTGAGAGATGTTCTTGTTTTGCTGGTGTATGAAATCTGTTCCCTTTTGATGGATGATTGTGTATTTAAAGACGCGTAAGCATGCTTATCGTGAGATTTAGTTTATTGTTACTTGATTATATTACTGACTAGCAGTAGAGAAGAAGAAAAGCTGACCCATCATTTTGAAGGACTAAAAGAAATGTCAACTAGTATCAAGTCTGATTGGAGATTTTATCTAAATCTAGGATTAATTAAAAAATAAACATAGATTAGCATCTAGAATGACAATTTTGCTCATAACCAAAAGATTCTAAAAAAGCAGTTTCAGAGTGCAAGATGGTGATCAATAGAGACAATTATTGGAAAGGAAGGCAGTATCGAGTGAAGTACTCCGATGACCAACCAACCGTAAACTGCTAAAATGATGCAAGTTCGTAATCAATTCTGCGAAAAGGTTTGATGTTCATGAATGGCGGCGCTTAAAGTCACTGTTTGTTCATACAAGTTCACACTAGTAACTTCAAATTGCTGATCATACTCGAATGTGCCCGAGCAGGATCGGGATTCGTAAGTGGGCATTCCCTGTTTACCAGAATAGGAATCACCCCCTATGGATGGTGTAGATTCTTCCAATTTCAAATGATTAACCTTACTACTACATTAACATTTAGTAAGATGCTAACACAGATGCATGGGGTTGGGTCACTGGGAACTATCTCCTAAGATTTAAGAACCTTTAATAAGATATTACCCTTTGTTTTAGGGGGTTTCTACAGCACGTTATATTGTGGTCTCCTTAGCCGTCCCTTGTCCGCATCAGATGATCGGGGTGACGAGCACGTACGGTTGTAAACTAAATCGCTATCATGATATGCTTTTCCTTGATTTGAAAAATTCATCTGTAAATTGAACTCTTTTGTGATGATCTCTTCAAATGGATTCCCTTATTATTATGTTTTGAATGGTAGACTTCAATCGACAACCCCTGTGCTGTTGAATGATTAATCAGCAGTCTACTAGGACACATTCATCTCTCAAGAGCCGAATATTTTGTATGCAATGAGACCAGGTCACAATTACTTAATAACCATATGATGTGATATCTGGTAGCTTGGGTATGTCACAAAGTTTGAGCAAAATTTCTTTGAATTTAGAGCCTAATCAATAAAATGAAGGAAAAGTATAGAATAAGAACATTTACCTTTAATACAAGGTGGTCATAATTAATCTTGACCATTAGATGTAAAATAGGGTGGCAACATTTATTTTATTGACCAAACTCAAACTTCAAAATTTCATATCGGATAGTTGTAAGTAATTGTGACATACTAAACTATCAAATTTCATATCGGATAGTTGTAAGTAATTGTGACCACCTTGTATCAAAGGTAAATGATCACATTGTATACAATCCCTAAAATAAATACAATAACCCAATTTCACATCCAATGGTCAATTAGTTGTGACCACCTTGTGCCAAAGTTAAATAGCCTCATTATACACTCTTATATTATGACCCCCCAAAACTCGAAATGATACATTTTTCTAGGACATTCCTATCCACTAAAAACTAATGTTTTTGTACTAAATCACGTCTTGCATTTTTATACAACACCACATAAACAAGAGGGTCTCGTTGGAGAGTATTTCATTTGGGAAGAGAAAAACCATTAAATAAATCTCCTATATACTTATAAGTTATGGCACATTAGACAAATATTAAGAAGGGAGATCCATGGCTCCGAGCTCTGGGCAGCACCTTTTCTTTTCTCTCTCTACAGTTTCTCTCACTTCTTCCTCATACACAAACTCGATCACAGACATTTCCCCTTCATTGCCATTCAAATGTTAATTGATAACAACCCTCATATTTTATATGTGTCTCTTTGTTTATTTCCAGCTCGAGAACATTCTTTCCATTCTCTACAAAATCCCCAAAGACACTGGAAAACGAAAAACACTAACTAGACCTTTATAATTTTTGAATTAATATTTCGACATTGAGCATCCATATTGTAGTGATTTTCCTCTTTGTCATTCAAATCAATGAAAAATAAAAATTTTGTCTATTATCGTCATCGTCCAAGTCTTATCCTAATTATTTGGGGTCTGCTACATGAATCATTATCTACCAGTCTGCTCTATCAAAGGCCATATCCTCAATAAAATCATAAGTCACTACATCTTTTCTCTCTATTTTTATCTTTGCCCTTTTGGCTTTCTGCTAGCCCTTTTAGGGCCAATGGGTGTGATACTTTAATTTCTTTGCCTATGGCTAGGACAATTGTAACTAGATCTAATATAGGATTGGTTGCATTGTAACTTGAACTGATATAGGATTGGTTGTGTTGTGGATGATTGTTAAGAATTCTTACTTATAGAATGCGATGTTCTAAACTTCACAATTTTCAATCTCTACTTGTTTGTCACCGTAATCGAGAAATTGCTACTTGTTTGTCACCTTAATCGAGAAATTGTTTGTCATGTAGACTATTATTGTTCACAGTAACTTTTGAGTGATTTATATATGAACCCTATAATTTTTTTCTAAAATACAAAATGCTTTGAAAATTATGAAGAAGGTTGGTCAATCATTTCTTCTTTTTTTTTTCAAAATTACCCTTCAGTCCAAAAATTCCAACGGCTGAATTTCATTTTTTTTAGAGAGAGAGATATCACTATATAGGACATTGATTATTCCAATTGTTTTTGTTGATATTGCAGTATGCGACAGATCATAGATAAATACCTGCAGGTCACTGGAACTCGCATTCCTGAATACAATCACCAAGTAACAGAGATCGTACTCCTTCACATTAAACTCTTTCTTCATTGCTCTCTTATACGAATCTATTTTTCCCCCTACTTTTTACCTTTTGATTTATTGATTTCTCTCTCTCTCTAGCAAGTTTATTCTGAGATTGCGAAGATGAAGAATGATTACGATAAGCTCCAAGCAAGCATGAGACAGTACACTGGAGAGGACCTCACCTCTTTGTCCATGAGCGACTTACACGAGCTTGAACAACAGCTCGAAGCATCCGCTACTAAAGTTCGAACCAGAAAGGTCTCCCTCTCTCTCTCTCTCTCTCTCTCTCTCTCTCTCTCTCTCTCTACTCTACTACTACTACTCTACTTACTTACTTACTTACTTACTTACTTACTTACGTTACGTTACGTTACGTTACTTACGTTACGTTACGTTACTTACGTTACT